CATCCCCCAAACCCGACATCCCCACGGCCGTTCCACCTTGGTCTATCCCCACAATGAGGTCCAAGCCCATGACGCGATCAGGAGCCTAAACCTTGCAAGAAAACGTCAACGACGCGGTAAAGGCTTTTCTAGCTCAGGACGACGTGGACTTAACAGCTCGGCCCGCTCAAGACCAGCCCGGCCCAACCCGCTATGACCGAGACCAGCTCGGCCCAACCCCCTACGACNGAGACCAGCTTGGCCCAACCCGCCAAGAACACTTACAACGGACACTTACCTATTTTGGAATATCGCGCATTGAAGACTAAGGCTCCACCCGATCCAGCGCGATCTAACGGCTCTATCCCACTAAGGTAAGTTTTGATTTATTTTAATTATCTTCGATACTAACGATTCTTTATTTGAACTTGTCATGTGATTTCTTTCCTTAAGTAGCGTAGGGCATTTGTTTCGCTGATTGTGTTTTAATTAGTTAGATGTCGATCTTTGTAATAAATGTCAAGACCCCTAGAAGAGCATAGCTGATCGGACGAGTATATAAGTCCCCTAACAGCCTTGTAAATTTTCACCTTTGATCAATAAAGCAAAAACATTCTTCTTAAAGAATTTTCTCTCGAACAACCTTCGAAATCCGGAATTTCTAGTTGTTCGCTCCGTCAGTATCGAGTTGTTTCCATCCGGCTCGTGGTGACTTCGTTCCATCCTCGCATCCATTCGTTCATCCCTTTAACCGTAGTGAAAGCGCCGTACGGCCAGCACTCGGATCCGCCTATCGCTTCGCTTCCATCGCTCATCGCTACCCGACTCGCAACAGGTGCCGTACGGCCGATTCAAGCCATCCATCCTCCACGTAACCTCTATTTGTGAGGCTGCATCATCTGGTATCAGAGCTTTAAAACTCCTAACTATCAGGTTTTATCTATCGGTAATCTTGTTTCAACTTCATTTAAAATAAAATAAAAAAAAAAATTCCTTTGTTTTTCGTCTGTTTGATTCGCCTCTTTATTCAAAAAAAAAAATTAGTTTGATTGTTTAAAGCATAGTGTTATTCATTGCATTTCGTTTGAGTTCCTTTTCATCTCGTCTTCATCGTTAATCTTACAAAAAAAAAAAATTCATACGAATTGTCATTTCCAATTTTGGTTACTCCCATACCGCATATCAATTCCATTAATTGTCAGTTTATTTCATTCCAACGGTCATTTCCTTAATCGATCATTCTCAATCGATCATTTCCTTAAACGGGTTTCGCATTATTTACTTGCCTTTTTAGAATACATTCATACACTTTGTCATCTTCTTTGCAGGTACTTAACCGGACCAAATGGGAGACACAGTTGAGCCAACCTTGGCCCAACTCATGGCCGCGATCCAAGGCCTTACCAACCGTATGACCCAGCTTGAGAACCAGCAGAACCAAGAGACCGAGAACACGACCGAGAGTAGTACCGATCCGGCTCGCGCCAACCTTAACCAGAACAACCGCAACGGTAACGGACAAGCCCGTGATCAAAATGAACCATGCCAAAACTGCGACGGCCTCCACAATGGCACAAACGAGGCCCGAACCGAGAAGAAGACGAGCCATGGCATGGTGGGAAGAGTTTGAAGCTGGTT